AAGCTTCACACACTGTAGGATTTTTTGCCCTTTTGGGCCGAATCTCCAGTGATGTGAGAAGTTTTTGATCGGGCCGCCGTTCAGCCTGATATTGCATCGTGAGTCATGTAGTGTACAGGGGGTAACAAGGGACCATCAGCCTCTAACGACCACCTCCCAATCAGGAATCGTAAGGTTGGGAGAAAATCCAACATTTTTTAAATTCAGTCGGCCGTTTTAAGGTGGTCGTGGGCAAATCCTCAAGTGGCAAATGAGGGTTCTTCTTCTTCTTCCTCAGACAAAAACACAGCAGCATGGCGGGGGTGCAAGTGAAATGGAGTTCTTTCTATAAATTTGACAGACCGTAGTAGCTACGTTTGCTCAGCCATGTCTTTGTCCAAATACGTTGTCGCCTTTTCTTTTTAGGGCTTTCAGCATAAAATTGCACAAATTGCCAAGGCAGTGCGTTTCACTCTAGTGAGCTTCATATTCCTCTTCTACTCGCTTGGCTTCCGGATAGACGAGTCCGAGTAGCTCCATCTCACTGTGGAGCTGAGTCCTGCCTGGTTTTTAGACGTACAGTGTGAGCAGGTAGATCGCATCAGAGCGAACCCTGCGGTTTGGTTCGACAGTGAGAGCTGTAGCTGCGTACAACAATTTGAAAAAAGTTGTACAGTGTATGCCCGGCTTAAGCTGCTCATTCACTGTTGAAAAGCTGTAGGTATCGAAATGTCTTTGTGTATACATTCAGTTTTTAAGTCTAAATATTTAAAGATATAATCCATCTTTATTCAATGAAACAATAGTTTTAGCTTTAACACCATTAATATGTGATTTATTAGATGCTTTGTTAGCAGGGAAGGCCTGATGACTAACAGTGAGTTGTTTCTATGTGCAGATGAGCTGGAGATGCTGTCAGAGGCCAGAGCTCGTTTGGCCAACACACAGGGCAAAAAAGCCAAGAGGAAAGCCAGAGAGAAACAGCTGGAGGAAGCCAGGTCCTTTTTTATCCTTTTATATCCACCCATTACTGATGGGCTGAGTTTAGTCCGAGGGGAACTCGTATGAAAGCTGCTGATGCATGTTAACGTTGTTGTTGCACTACAGGCGATTGGCTGCTCTGCAGAAACGCAGGGAGCTGCGTGCAGCGGGAATCAATGTGCAGAAGAAGAGGAAGCATAAGAGAGGCGTGAACTACAACGCTGAAATCCCCTTTGAAAAAAAGCCTGCAGCGGTATTTATTTATACACCGTTAACTGTGTGGATCCCCAGGTAAACCGGTGTGATGACCAGGTTGTTCTGCTTGTGTTTCCATGAAGGGTTTCTATGACACCAGCATGGAGCAGTACGACGCTCTGGAGCCAAACTTCAAACGGCTCAGGCAGCAGCACCTGGACGGAGAACTGCGCAGGTCAGAAACTATTTCCAGCTCTACATGCTCTGGATCTACAGAGAAATATTGTTTTTAGACATTTCACATTCCTCTGAAGAACTAACTCCAAACTAAAAACGATGTGTGACTGGTTGGTTTGCAGCGAACGCGAAGAGAAAGAAAGGAAGAAGGATAAGCAAAAGATAAAGAAGAAGAAGGAGAGCGATCTGCCCTCTGCCATCCTGCAGACCAGCGGCGTGGCAGAGTTCACCAAGAAACGCTCCAAACTGGTCCTGCCTGCACCACAGGTCACCGCCGTCGTCTTTTACCACTTTCAGGGATCTTACAGGAAATTGTTTTTCATATTTTCCTGGAATTAAAAGATTGCTTTCAATTCCATACATTCATTAAAGGAAAAATCCAGTCAGCAGGGAATAATCAATGGATCATTATTTATACCTAAAACTAATACATTCCCAGTGGTTTAATGAATTTTGCGTTAATCCGAAAAAAAAATGTTTTT